CTCACCTTTCCACAAAATTATCCCCGCAATCTCCACAAGATCAGACACAGTTCAAAACAAATATCCAGGATGGAGATTTAAAAATATACTGCGTTTTTGTTAGTCCCAGCAGGTATGCTAATACATATTCCCGATTTAAATGGAGATGCTATCGATAACAATGCGGACTTCAACAGGTTAATACACGATACCACCCCTGGCTAATTAACAGACCAATAAACAGCAACATTAATTATTAATTAGTACTCTTAGAAACCGGAAACTACTGAACGGAATTCCACAATTTCCCTGCGGTTAAAGTTCTTTTTGTTATATTTTATGTCTATGTAGCAAATTTTTGGAGTGTGCTGCTTTAATTTTCAATAAAAATCTGAAGTTAGGGAGACCTGTTGATTCTTTTTACCCGAATTCTTTATTTGTTGAGACAGACTGACTAAACTTCCCTATTATTTAAAGTTCTTTAACAAACACCCGGACTTGAACTGTCACACACGTGATAATTGAAATACGTGGATAAAAATCAGATTTCAGGGACCAGCTGTGTTAATACTGGCAACCTTCCCAATCATTGATGCTTTTATTTATTGTTCAACATGTCAACGAGGTTTGTATCACACACACAAATACATGTTGAAAACTGCATGTCAGACCACTTATAAACGAATACTAGTATACTTTTATATTATCATTCATAGAATATGATACCAGTTTCTCTTTATATATCCAATCAAATTGACGAATTTATTAATTTATACAGTATCAACGACCATTAATTCATGTTATCGCAAGAAATGAAAAAAACCCTTCCCTTCTTTTTCATATCTTATACTCTTAAAAGCTGTCAGTGTTAAACTGTACCCCCTCTCTCTTTCTCTCATCCGATAAATTCTAAAATAAAACCAACTTTATGATACCTTTTGTTGAATGAATTAATTCCCACACAATAAAAAAACTCTATACGCTATGATGACAATTCAAGCTACAATTTCGGTGGTTTCCGGGATTTGGCTCATTCCCGGAACCTGCGCATCCGAAGTTCGCTACGTACGTTGATCCCTTAAGTGGTCATATATAAATGAATACAGAATGGAGTGGCAATATATTTATATAAACGCTGTACTCAAGGGTTCTCCTAAATGTATAAAATTTTACGATACTAGAGTTGGTTTTAGAAGCTCAGGTTTTTAAAAATCTTTTCCCAGAGGAAGACTTCAGGTTAAATTCATTGTATAACTGCATGTCAAAATTGATAGAAATATGGCCACTTAGAGCCTCCGCAAACAATATGCATATAGAGCAAAGCTTACCACTTTTCCTTCTTTCAAATTTTCAAAATAAGACAGACATCTATTTCTTTTGAATCTCTCTCTCTCTCTCTCTCTCTCTCTCTCTCTATCGGGCAGAGGCGGGGTGTAGTGCATCACGCAATATCTTCTTTCTGGACCTCTATAAAACTTTGATTTCTCAACTGTTTAATGTGAGAAATTAAACTGATAGAACTATTCCTTTTGAAGAAAGATATTTTTAAGTTTTCTACGTACATGTGTTTTTCTTTTGGTTAAAAAGGCCGGGATGGCGCATGGTTGCAAAATAGAATTATATAAGCTTAATTGGAGGATGTGAAATCAAGAGGGTTAAAGTAAAATGTATTTGTAGTTTCTTTTGGCTGTGCTGTCACTGAAGCATCACCATTCAATATCAAATTTATCGTTACTCATTCAAAACGTGAGTGTGTGGATTACTTTACGGCAAAGAATGTCAGACTTATTTATAATTTTAAATTTTTCTAACTATACATAGCATTTCCCCAATATTTCTGTGATATGCAAACACCCTTAATATATTGAACTCATATCGAGCCAATTATCCCCTGTCTGGGACAGATCTGAGAGTATAACACGTTTACACATTACCTGGATTAAAGCGAACCATGACGAATTAATAAGTTGTCATGACAGTGAGGATAACAAACTATTTATATCTCCATATTACTATTGATTCTGTCCCTCTCACACAAAAAGTCAGTCTCCTAGATAAATGATTCAAGTCCTAAGACAAAGAAAGAATGAAACCTGATAACTAGAGGTACTGTGAGCACTGAGCCCACTAAATGATAACCTGTCTCCAATGTGTTTATAATGGCAAAGTCCATGTTTTGCTCTGGGATACCCGAAATAAATGTCAGATTAAAAAAAGTAAAATATAGGACGGAGGCGCACAATGGTAGAATGTTATAAAGAATCTGTGAAAGTATCAATAAATTTTATTCATTAGTATAGGAGGAGTTAAGGATAAGAGATGGGTACCCTTCAATATCACAGCGCGAACACTCGTGTCCATGTTTTGCTCTTGGTATACATGTAATTTAGTGAGCTCAGTACTCACAGTACCTCTAGTTTGTATATCGTTTATTATACCCCCGCTTGAAAAGTGGGAGGGTAATAGTGCTCGGGATGTCCGTCCGTCTAGCTGTACGTCCGTCCGTTACGCTTTGGGGTATTCATCTCTTATCCGCAACTCCTCTTATATACCACTAATGAAACTTTCACACATTCTTTATTACAAAATGCCATTATGCACCTCCTATATATTTTACTTTTTGATCTGACCCTTATTTCAGGTCCCCCACAGCAAAACACGGACTTTGCCATTATTATCATATGGAAGGCGGGGGTATCATTTAGAGAGCCCATCAATATATATTTTTTCGGAGAGCTACAGATCTGCAGCTAGAGAGCCCGCCAAAAGCAGGCACGTACCTTCGTTTTTGAAAGTGTGTGGGGGGGGGGCAGCCAGAGAATTTTTTTTGGAGTTACCTGAAAAAGTTGACAAGCCAAAAAAAAAGGGAATTGCACAAACTTGAAAATTCTATTTCGGGGGAGTGGCAAACTTTTTTTCAATGTCAACTTCCTTCGGTACCAATTTTCCTGCTTTCTATACTAAATTTTCCTTGATATTAACTTAGTGTACTATAAAGTGACGGGGGGGGGGGGGGGCAACCAGCCTTTCAATGAACGTTTCCAATAGTAAAAGTAATGTTGGAAAAAAAAGTGGGGGGGGGGGCAGGCCTCCCTTGCCCCCCCCCCCTGCTGCTACGTCTCTGAAAGGTAGGTCACGTTAACAATAACTAGTACTTTTATATATTATATATTGATTGGGGTCTTTTAGATTAAAATCGTTCTATTCCTTGATGAAAGCTTTAGTTTAAAATATGTTTTGATTATGTACATTATAAACGAACTAACTAAAGAGCAGGTAAAAATGCCTACGGTCATTCTATGAAAGTTTTCTGATCCAGGATAAAACGTTAGAAAGCATTTGTTTCAAATTCATGACAGATTTATGTCATGATGTTACGCTAGAATTTGTTAACAGTATTATGGTGGCATATTTCTGCCCCTTGTGTGCAAGTTATTTTTCTATCAAATATGTCGACATGCAAGATAGATATGTTAACATGCAACATAGCTATGTCAACATGCAACATAAATATGTTGACATGCAAGAAAATTGCAATAAAATAAAAATTATAAAAAAAATCTTCAAAAATCTCAAATATTGCCCACATGTGACATCCAACATGCTAAATGCAACTTATTTATGTTGACATGCAACTTATTCATGCTGACATGCAACTTAGTTATGTTGACATGCAAGATAAATATGTTGACATGCAACTTATTTATGTTGACATGCAACTTATTTATGTCGACATGCAACTTGGTTATGTTGACATGCGAGATAAATATGTTGACATGCAACTTATAAGTTGCATGTCGGCATAACTAAGTTGCATGTTTACATAAATAAGTTGCATGTCAACATATTCATCTTGCATGTCAACATAACTAAGTTGCATGTCAACATAACTAAGTTGCGTGTCAACATAACTAAGTTGCATGTCAACATAACTAAGTTGCATGTCAACATAATCTTGCATGTCAAGTTGCATGTCAGCATAAATAAGTTGCATGTCAACATAAATAAGTTGCATGTTAACATATTTATCTTGCACGTTAGCATAAATAAGTAGCATCTAGCATGTTGGATGTCACATGTGGGCAATATTTGAGATTTTTGAAGATTTTTTATAATATTTATTTGATTGCAATTTTCTTGCATGTCAACATATTTATGTTGCATGTTGACATATTTATGTTGCATGTTGACATAACTATCTTGCATGTCAACATATTTATCTTGCATGTCGACATATTTGATAGAAAAATAACTTGCACACAGGGGGCAGAAATATGCCACCATACAGTATACTTTTAATAATTTATTGAAATAATTTGTTCATAATTCTTATGTTAATTCGTGAATTTTTGCTTGTAGTATTAATCTAAAGATTTTTGTTGAATTTTGTATCCTTTGTTAAAAGAGATTATGAAATACTTGAATTTAATTCTTGAAAAGATAAAATACGTCTTCGATGAAAAAAAAAACCTTGTCCCATGCATGTTAAATAGGTCTATCCCTCTGATAAAGTTTGACAGGTTCGTCTGTCCTGTCTGTTTACCTGTTTCTCCGCAAAAACTTTGACATTGCCCATAACTGGAGCTACGAATATCATATTTCACACGTGTATTTCTTTTTACAAGACCTTTCTTTTGGGTACCAACTTATTTGACCTCCTTACCTTAGAGTTTGACCCACTTTTCCAAGAATCTACCAAACTTTAACCGTAAATATTTCACATTTGTATTTCCTATGTCAAGGACATTTCCAAGGCGCCTTTAATTTGACACTGTCTTTGGAGTTTTATTCATATTACAAAACTAAAACTTTGGAATGGCTAGTACTTAGACTTTTATAATTCATAGGTATATAATTATTCATTGAGAAAAGTCCTTTCTTTGGGTAACAACATTTTAATCAATTGGCCTCGGAGTTTGACATTTTGGTATTTTGTTGAGCTTAACACAAGGCCTGAATTGTTTATAGTATAAATATAAACTTTATAATATGATATAAGTTGTGAAATATTCCTGACTTACCTTATCAAAATCAATAAAGACACAGACAAATCTGAATGTATGCATGTACAACATAACTGGAAGATCACAATATAACATTTACTGATCACATTGAACAAAATATTGTGTTTTTTCTTAATAAAAAATAGTAATTTATTTTCTTCTTCCCTTAACAATTTAAACACTCGTGACAGAATGACTGTGTACATGTATTTCACATCCTCTTTCTTTACTAGTTTTGATAAACTAAAACATTGAATTTAGAATACAACAGGAAATTATTTTGCATTTTCCGTGTAAGACATGACATACAGTGAATTCCCACTTACAATGTATACAATGCGAACCGAATCATTTTCGAGACATAAATACCAAATACTATACACTCTAATGGGAAAATATATTGCACTATATAGGACCAATGTTATGTTGAGTATTGACCTGAGTTGAAAATTGAAACGGGTTCATTTTCCAACGTTGAATACTGAACCTGGTACGCATCAATCTGACTGATTGATTGTATGTTGTTTAAAGTTACCCTCGAATATTTCCATTTCTAATTTTTTTTCTCTGTGATAACTCTTTGAAAGTTAAGGGTAGTTTATTTCTAGATAATTCTGCCGGAATGTAAATTAGGCAGGTCGATAGGTCGGGAGCTAAGGAGGCCTAATACGCATGTAATTCTCGTGCGCATCTAGCTGTCTCTGTGTCTGACGCTAAGGAGGCCAAATATGCATGTAAATCTCGTGCGGCTGCCTTTGTGTTTGACGTCGGTTGGCGATGACTATTGAAATTGGCATGGAAGTCATCATGTGATTTAAATCTATTTATCTACATTTTTAAAGTCTAAATCTACAATTTTATTTCACAATGAAATGGAAATATAAGGAATCACTGTCTAGTTAGGAGGGTACTAGTATGTCAGGGACATCAACAAGAGTGGGAAACATGGGATAATTTAAGTAGTTAAAATTTAAATTATCCCATGTTTCCCACTATTGTTGATGCCCTGACATACCCTCCTAACTAGACAGTGATTCCTTAAGAATTTTGTCCCCATATGGAGATGCCACCAATTGCCGGCGGAGAGCTGCAAATTTTGTCCTTGCTCGGCACTTTCGGCAATTGAGCAGAGAGGGACCTTTTTCGTGCCATGGAGCACCTACTGCGAGACGGGACCTCGGTTTATACGGTTTCATCCGAAGAACTGGTCTGCAGTGCACGTCCCACCGTGGGATTCGCGCGACGTAAGGATCAACTTCTTTCTTCTTGACTCTAGAGCAGACGCGCTGATAACCACTGCGCCACGCGGGCGGCCAATCTGACTTGATTGTACATGTATATTAATTGTTTTGCGTCTCACTGAGAATTTTTCACTCATATATTAGAGACGTATACCAGTGAAGGACTTCAAACGTTGACCTTACATGTAACGAGGCCTCAGGGCCATTGAGCAGTGAGGGGTCTTTATATATCTTGCAAACGTATACTGTGACACAGAGTTTTTCAAGGTCGCATCCGAAGGACCCACAACTTGCTCTGTGTATCATTTAGTGAGCTCAGTGCTCACAGTACCTCTAGTTTGTATATCGTTTATTATACAACGGTACCCCGCTTGAAAAGTGAGAGGGATTATAGTGATCGGGATGTCCGTCCGTCTATCTTATAAACCACTTCCGTAGTGACAAAATATTGGCATTTCTTGGGTGATCACACGTACCTTCAATATACCCAGTATCAGGAAAAGAAAAAGCAAGCAGTTTACCATTCATTGTAAACCATAAAACGTGAACATGAACTAGATTGATTGTACAAAATGTATATTGTTTAACGTCCCTCTCGAGAATTTTTTACTCACATGGAGACGCCACCACTTGCCGATGGAGAGCTGCAAATTTTGTCCTATTCTCTGCACTCAGAGCCATTGAGCAGGGAGGGATCTTTTTCGAATCAGCACCTACTGCGACACGGGACCTCGGTTTATACGGTCTCATCCGAAGGACCGGTCTCCACGTCCCACAGTGGGATTCGAACCCGCGACGTAAGGAGTAACTCCTTAGTTCTTGACTCTAGAGCAGACGCTCTAACCACTGCGCCACGCGGGCGAACATGAACGAGAAGACTGACATAAAAAATAACCATTGTTCTTCACATAAATCGTAACATGAAATCTTCCTTCTTTCATATCTCCATATTTCATTATAGATGGGATGAAGTGCCCCGACGGAGAAAACATCTCGCGGTCGTGAGACTTTTGTCTTGATCTGCACGATAAACAGAGTAACTACTGAGTAATTGACAAGAGCTGATAAAAAGGGAGGAAAAAATAGGTTAACAATTTTTATATAAATCAGTCAACAGGTTGTACCGGTATATTCGTCTATTTGTCATTGCATTGACCATAAGATTTGCGAATTGATTGTACCTTTATAACATAAACTTATTTATCATTGGCCTTACTCGGTTAACAAATTTACCATAAACAGGAGATGTTCCTGAGATTTGAATGAACTAAGAAAATTTGTTTTAACACAGTTTTACAAGTGTCTTAATCAAACGTACAATGCATCGTAAGATAATGAAGAATTAGTTGTCCATCCTCAATTAAAATTCAAATATGAAACATGTCATACTCAGATGTGTTTTACTTCGAATTTAATGAGTTTAAATGAATATTTATTTGATAACAAACATGCTAGCTATTTCCATACATATCTCGAACAAGAATTGAAGGCCACCACAAGTGACTTCTTCATACTCTTTAATAAGATGGGGTTTAGTTTGTTACCATAATTGTATAATAGTTAATAAATAAATTAAATTTTTTTAAGATGAAGAACTTCAGTGAATAAATTGATGTTTTATAGATTTAAATACCAGTATAATCGCTCTTTTCTTTTGTTGAATTTGTTATTGATGCAGAACGGCTAAATCTTGAAATGCTTGATTAAAGGCTCCTTTTTCAGCGCTTCTGCCGAAATATCAGCCCAAGTAACTAAGTACTAACTAGACGTCAATAAAGAGTTATCAGACGGAATAATTAGGCAATAATATAAATTCATAATTAACTCAAGAAGAATAATTCACAACTAAACATAGAATATTTGCATCCTTTCCATAAAACTTAACATAAAAAATTCATTATGTGCATAATTTTACGTATTTCAATTCCCATGTGATCGTTTTACCCGGGTAGATGTATATTGCAACAAAATAATGTACTATATATAAAGTGTTTATTTCAAACGATGCACTTTAGTGTAACGATGTACTTTAGTGTACATGAAATATTTATAGAGAATTGACTTGCAATATGTACCTGTGACATCTTTAACATTGTTGGGATGCAACTCTAGGGTACATGTCATTATATAATTAGCAAGACTTAGTGTAATGTAATCTAAACTTAACTGGGGTGGATTTCGGAAGTAAGTAAATTAATTTCAAGTGACTCATTGGACATATTATCAAGTTACCCATTTACTTAATAATTATGTGAAGGCATTTGATATTCATTTAATAGTTTTGTTTGTTAAAGGTCCTCTCTAGAATTTTTCACTCATGATTAGACACCCCAACTTGCTAATGGAAAACTGCAAATTTAGAGCTGTACTAAACACATCAGGCCCTCGAGCAGGGGGGGATTGTTTTCGTGCTAGCACATATGGGGATAGCGAACAGTACTCAGAAGTGGGTTCAGGTGCCACGAAGGAGTGAGCATCCCCTGTCGACCAGTTGAACTCATTCGGTTTAATTTGAAAAAAGGTCTCAAGGTCCCGCAGTGCGTTTCAAAATCGCGACGTAATGCTTCTCTATGGCAAACGCTCTAACCACTGCGCCATGCGGGAAAACCAAATATCCGAAGTAAGTTACAGCACGTGATTAAAGTTACCGAAAATTTCAAAGTAATGGACATACAAGATAAGCGACTAGTATCTATTCAACATATTAAGTACATATCAATTGTGAAAAGGTTCCAGTTTTTTACGTTACAATGTTAAGTTGTTGGGTATCAAGAACTACAGTACTACAGTACTTCTAAAATCAAGAATGCGGAGGTTCTCAATGAACACGTAGCAAAAGCAATCAAAACTGATGTATATTTAACATTTTTAAGATAACATGATTTTAAAACATGATTTTAAATTTTTACCAATATTTATTGTTCAATAAGACCTATTTTAAGGGTTGATCCAAAGTTATATTATCTATATATTACAAAATCTTCAATAATCCTATAGATATCAACAACAAAATATAACATACAAATGCCACTGTCTACTTAAATATATGGAGATAGCGAACAGCATTCAACCATCAGAGGTGGGATCAGGTGCCACGGAGGAGAACACTTCCCCTGTCGACCAGTCGAACCCACCGTGGTCTCTTTGTCATGATCGGAAAAAAAGAAAATTTAATGCGTAAATAATGGACTAGCAATTTGTATTTAAAACGTCAGTCAGCATTTGACTTAATGATAGATTGCTTTTGCCGAAAATGTAATTGTTTCGTCCAAAGAAAAAAAAATGAAATCATATGACTTCAAATGAGTTTGTTGATATCATTGTTTAATCAAGTTAATTGTTTGTCTCAAAGCTCTTCACCAATTTATACATCATGATCACAGTAAGTATCACAGGCACTTGTATCGGAATTTTTTTTTATCCCAGTGTTATTATTATAATACTTTTTAAACATACCTAACATTTTTTCTTGTCACCAACGATCCCATGAAACATTTAAAAGTACATCTTAAAATCAAATGTATCCGACAAATCATCCATAACCTACGCGCAATTTAAGTGTTTGAATTGTAAATATCTTAGTGTGAGATATCTTTTTTGTTGAACGTTATTTAACCATGCAATTAAAATCAGTGACACATCAGTGCAATACTTAGAAATACGGGAACAATATTTACTCAGAAAAATCAGGGACATCAATACAGTTATTTTTATCAACAGCTCTTCATTATACATTATGTCTTTGTTTCAGTCAAATTAGTATCACCTGTCTGGAGTCTTAAAAAAATCTTGTATAAAAAACTTTGGGTTTTATGTAGGTGGGTTGGTATCTTTAAAAAAATCTA